CATTCATACTTGTTTTATGTATTCTTACTTGTAATATATCAGATTTGTATTTGTATTATACATTCATACTTGTATTATATATTCTTGTAATATATCAGATTCGTACTTGTATTATAGATTCTTACTTGAAATATATCCGATTTATACTTGTATTATACATCCATACTTGTATCATAACAGATTCATACTTGTTTCATAGATTTTTGAAATATATAAGAATTATACTTGTAATATATCATGGCTGGCATGACGAACAGCATCTGGAAGAAGCACCGAATCGCACTGATTTCGATGGCGTGCATCCCCTCAATTTTCTTCACAAGAAGAGCCGCAGCGGAGAAGAATACAGATGCTAACAAGGTGTACAGGAGGCCCAGCCCCGGACACGCTGGTTTCTTTTCTGTGGATGAATATAACAAAACAGCTTAACATCACACCTGTTAGTCAATTACAAATAAATCGTATGGTATGCTGATTAATTAATAGTTTTGACTGCATAAATACATTTTTGCTAAATGCAGACAATTCAAATACATTATCCTTGCGACCAAGGTTGAGGAAAATTCAGATTTGAAGAACTTGATCCAATTCCTATGTGTGAATTTAAATTTGGCCACTAACCACTGTAAGTAAAATTAGAATGACAGAAAGAAGAATTTACTACTGAATTGCAAAACTGGAGTTGGAATTTCTGTAAGTTCATTCAAACCTTTTTTTTTTTTTTTTTACTGACAGCAGAATTCACAACAATATTATTTGCATTTAGGTACTTCAAGCTTACATTGCTCCAATGGTGAGAAAATTCCTTATTACGAATTTACATCAAGTTCAAGAGATATATATGGTAAATGGACTTTTTATTCACTGGAGCACCATACGAAAGCACTTTAGCACCACAGTCTTTATACACAAACCGTTTGCACAAATGATGGAAATGAGACATGAGAAGTACACAGCATGATTTGGCTTTGTGGGGAGTGATCTGAATTTTGATCTTGATGTGGAATGACATGGAGGGAGCAAAACAGCATGAATCTCAACACACTGTTGGTGATTCTGTTTAACTTTGACACTGAAGTGATATGAAATGTGGCAGCAATGATTACACAACCAAACGCAACTTTACTACCTGTCGGTGAGCTGAGCTCATGTTCAATCAGGTTGTGTGGTTGCCAGCATTGGATAAATGCCAAATTGTATCAAATGTCCCTTGAGGACCTGGCCTCACACAAAGACCATGAGCCCTGGAACACAACACATACTCAACAATACAGGTTTGAGTTAAAACAAACAACTTCACCTGACTGTTTAGCGAGAACACTATGGAAAGGAAAAAGATACTGTTTCCTGGTGTGATTCACAAGTAGTAGTTCCCACAAAGCTAGTACTGTTCATAATGATAAGGATTTCTGGTTAACCTCTCCCTGTGAAAATATGTAATCTGCTATTTTCTTTGTGTAAGACGACAAGATGACAACCTAAAATTACAAAGGCACTTTAAGAAATACAATGTACACGATACTTGAATATGGTAATCATTTAGTACCATGGTGTACAATATATCAAAGTATCATGGTAATACAACTGGATATGATCACTGTAGCAAGCTTCTATAGTGTTTTGTAAGGATGCACTTGCCTGGTCATACAGTATGAAAAGCAGCCAAGTCTGATACAGTGTAAAGTGTTCTCCCTTCAAAAGTTACCATGGTAACCAGTTTCCAATAACAGAGAGTTACAGTTGGGTTCCGGAAGTAAAACTCCCATTCATTTCTCCATTGGGGAACCAATTTTGAACGATTTGAAGATTTCTTAAACTTCTGAAATCCAGACTACTGAAAAGTGGATGGGACATGTTGTACTTTATTGTACGACAGTACACACAACTGTGGTTAATTAGCCACCGCTGTCATCAAAAATACATAAATAAATTCCATAAGAACTGAACGGTAGAAATAATAACTGAATAAACTGTATTTTTGGGATAAGTAACCACAGTTTATTTTAACGAGGGAAACTATGGTTACTGTGGTGACTGTGTGTAAGGGGCTTGATACAATGTAACTGTTCTGTCAGCTTTTATAAAAAGAAGTTGCCATGGTAACTCTGTCATTTATTCCACAGACACTACAGTTCATATTTACTGTAAAATCACAATAAATTGATAAGCGATTACATTCAATCAGAAATATGTTGTGTTGGTAAAATCTGATTTACTTATGTTTCATTTTTGAGGGCTTATGGCTAATACCAAGTTACCACCGCTTTATAATAGTTGTATCAATAATTATAGTAACTGTTGTATTTAAAGGTGGAAACCATGGTAACTGTATGTAAGGGGTTTGATACAATGTAACTGTTCTCATTAGCTTTTAGGAAAACGTTACCATGGTAACTCAGCCTTTATTCTACATGTACTACAGTTAATTGATTCGCAGTAGTATTGATGCACTTTTAAAGAAGAAACTACGGTTACCACGGTATGTAACGGGTTTGATACAAGGTAACTGCTCTAGTCAGCTTTTACGGAATAAACTCTTAAAAGTTACCATGGATCATCCTGCCATCACTTACAAAACTTAACCATGGTTTTACTACAAATACATGGTAACCACAAATGAATCATGGTTTTGTAACCACAGTTAGCGTTTGTAGTAAAACTGCGGTTACACAAACGGTAATAATCAATACACCAAAACAAAACAAAACATGGTTACTACACTTTTACTATAATAAACCCCTAGTTACTACAGCTATTATTAAAACTGTCAAGTCATTGTAAATGAATATGGGGTTTCCTTGTTTAAGAAAAGTTTGAGAAAAGATCTAGATACATTTGATTATTTATGGCAGTTCGCTATACTACCAAGTTATCGTCGATTTATTATAGTAGTATCAAGTAATTACTTAAGTAATTATTTAAAATGCGTAAACCGCGGTTACTATGGTGAATGTAACGTTAACTGCTCTCGATAGATGTAACACTGAAAGTGTCCTAGAGGTCAAACACAAGTGTAGAAATAGATGGATCGGAGATCAAATTCTAGATCCATATGTCTTTAATAAATGCCATCGTGTAAGAGTTAAGCTCAGTTTACCTTTTTGAACTGTGTTTGCCCCCGCGTCCTCATCCTCCTCACCATCCTCATCCTCATCCTCATCGCGGTCAGGGTTGTTTCTCTTACAGCAAACCGGCACACAAACCCGGTACAACGCAGTGCCGTTGACCCGCGGGCCGTTTTCTGCATCCGCATCCGCGTGCACTGGCACTTCTGATCGACTTTGCAACTCAATTTCCTCCCCATCGTCAACTTTGTGACAAAGCACCCTGATGTCGTCCGCTCTGTAAGAGACAACAGCTACATCTGTGTCATTATTACTCACAGAGCCATTGCGCTGTCTAATATCACCCATGACAGAGGACAACGGCTGCTTGGCATACCTTGACCACACGGTTGCCTTCGGATAGAAATGGTACCGAGCAACAAGTTAAATAACGCACCTTGTTCAAAGAAAGAGGTGGTTGCGTTCCTCTGCCGCTAGAGGGAGACAAAATGCGTTTGAAGCGGTGTTGGACGACAATGCCGTTTCACAGCGTTTGATTGACGGAGAATCAGGGGCTTTGTCCAAATACCCACACTTGAGGTCTTTGCACTTGACCACTTGATTACTTAAATGACGTATTTTCTGTATTTGGCCGAAGTCTTAGTAGAGTTTACTAGCTACTAAAAAAACTTAAATTGTAATCATTCAAAAATGTGTACGTTTTCAATAATTCAATGTATTTAAAAAATACAGTTATTTATATTTTAATATAATATCATGCATATTATTTTACAAACAAATCTAAATGAACATATATAAAATATAGTTTTTGCTGAGATTTGGTGATGTGACAATTTTGCGTCGTGATTACGCAATGACGTCACAACGTCATTTAGCAACTTTTAGCAACAAATGGACCATCCTTTAGCAACTTTCTCTGAAAATTAGTTGGCAACACTGCGGAGAATCCAGAGAATAAAGATCACACACATGTACGTGTCTAACTTTCTTTAAACAGTAGTTTAAATATAATCTGTAAATGCACTGGTATGCAATACGGTCACGTATTGTCTTGAGTCGCCAAATAATATTTAGCTTAATGAAAACAAAGCGTTTAGGAACTGTCTTTGAACGTAAATGTAATGTTTTTGACAGGTTTCATGCATGAGATTCACACTTCAACGCAGTTCGTGCATCACGACAAAGCAGGCTCGTATTTTTTAAAGGTTTTATTGGTTCAGGTCTTTGCACTTGACCACTTGATTACTTAAATGACGTATTTTCTGTATTTGGCCGAAGTCTTAGTAGAGTTTACTAGCTACTAAAAAAACTTAAATTGTAATCATTCAAAAATGTGTACGTTTTCAATAATTCAATGTATTTAAAAAATACAGTTATTTATATTTTAATATAATATCATGCATATTATTTTACAAACAAATCTAAATGAACATATATAAAATATCGTTTTTGCTGAGATTTGGTGATGTGACAATTTTGCGTCGTGATTACGCAATGACGCCACAACGTCATTTAGCAACTTTTAGCAACAAATGGACCATCCTTTAGCAACTTTCTCTGAAAATTAGTTGGCAACACTGCGGAGAATCCAGAGAATAAAGATCACACACATGTACGTGTCTAACTTTCTTTAAACAGTAGTTTAAATATAATCTGTAAATGCACTGGTATGCAATACGGTCACGTATTGTCTTGAGTCGCCAAATAATATTTAGCTTAATGAAAACAAAGCGTTTAGGAACTGTCTTTGAACGTAAATGTAATGTTTTTGACAGGTTTCATGCATGAGATTCACACTTCAACGCAGTTCGTGCATCACGACAAAGCAGGCTCGTATTTTTTAAAGGTTTTATTGGTTCTAGCTAAAAAAAAACAAGTACCAGTGAACAACTAAACTTCCTTCCCACATTACCTCAATAATTGAGCTAAATCTACGTTTATTGCATTCTGATTATTGAAATTGTTGAGTCATATAACAAGCTTCAAATCTATCACACCCAATGTGGTTAAACAGGACGACTTTGTTTAAAAAAGTTAAAAATGGCTTTTTACATCACTGTAAAAAATGTAAACAGTTTATTTGGCAGATTAAGTCAACAGTTAACTGATTTGACCTTTTTTGTTTCCTTATTATACCTCTTTAGTGACTACATGGCAAAGAATGAGAATATGTTAACAATAGCTTTTGTTGAAAGGGACAAAAAAAACAGGAAAAATGAAAAGTGCCGAACAGATGGTGACAACAGAGAAAGACACAAAGGGCGTTTCTAGAGAGGCATTCATCCGGAATTATTATTTTTAGCGCTAGGCTAGATCAAGCATGTAGTTTAACAATAGGCTCATCTGTGTCAGGGAATGGTTCTCTGTGCTTTCAATCGGCACTCTAGCTGCTTAGGTTGATCATCAAGTGCTCGTAAATCTGCGTCTTCCCTTTAAAGCTGGACGCCAGCAGGAACTCTCGGTTGTCAATGGACATCAGCGAGAATGCTCTCGGCGCCTGGACGTTGAGCTCCTGGAAGTGCACCAACTGGCCCTTCTTGGTGTCCCACTGATAGACCTGGGTTAGCGAGTAGTCGCTGCCTAGGATGGCGTACTGCCAGTTGCCGATGGAGAGGGGCTGGAAGACCATGGATCCCCGCGAGGGCATTGTCTGTATCTCTGTGAACATAGAGCCATCCCACTTCATCACCTTGGAGTCACCAATGAAGCGCGTCAGACAGACAAACAGCTCCCCCTTCACCTTGAAGTGTTTGACGGCGTAGACGTCCTCCATCTCTGGAATGTCCGTCCTTATACAGCAGCTCAATAAACAAGAATTTAATAAACTTACGTTAGACACAATTGACTGTTTTTGCTCTATTTCGCCAATACAACAAATATAATTCCAATTTGCATCTCTGAGCAACATGACGCTGTTTTGTTCCTGAATGAATCAACCGTTTAAATGATTCGGTTCAGTCGCAATGACTCAGTTATTAACTTTAACTTGCTGCCACCTACTGGCGGTTTTAATTTCACATTTAAAATATCTTTTCATTTAAAAAAAAATAATCAAATATCAGTATTCAACATTTTGTTTAAAATATCAAAACAGTATTAATGCATTTGTAAATGCAGGTTAAAACATTCATGTCCTGCATTAAACAGTGTAAATGCATCTAAATGGCACTTCTAATGCAGCTTCTGTGTTTCCTCTGCATTGCAAAGCTGAATTTTGTCAATACTGATTTCATATGCTTGCTAACGGCCCGAATGACTTATAATATTAATTGACTGATTCAAGTTAAGAATCTGACTGAAAAAAATGATGCACACTTTTAGAAAAAAATGGCTTTATAATGGTAAAATGCCAAAAATCAATTTAAACTTACTGGAAAAGATTAATTTCTATCACTGCTGTGAACTGATCACCACACAGAATATTAAGAATATCAAACATGTTAGCAGTCAGCTGTCCACGGTAGTCCTTATCAACCTTATCCTTATCAGATATCAGCACAATAACACACTCAGAAAAATGTTGTCTAATTATCATTATCGATAAAATCCCAGAAAATATCGAGATATATTTTTTGTCAATATCGCACACCCGAAAAATTATTCGAGGTGTCCTTTTATCCACTTGAGCCCCTGTCCCTCAAAATGTCTGTGCACGTCCCTGTACGCAGTGCATTTCTAAGCATTTCAGCAGATATGTAGCATCAGCTCATTTCATAGCCAGAATCTGTTATACTCAGGACAGACTAGTGCACATTTACCTGCTGTAATGCAGTCAAAGGACTGAGGCACTAGGTCATTTATCTTCTTCCCTTGATAGGGTGGAGGCCCACTGCAGTATAACTGATCCACCGTTGCATTAGTGCTGTACATCCATTCCACAAGCCACTTCAACTTACAGTCACAACTGAACATGTTTCCTCTGAGATCCCTGCTCAGTGCATTTACAGATTATATTTAAATCACTGTTTCTTGTATATTATATAACAAGAAAGTTAGACATGAGCAGCAAAATACATACACTTTTGTTAAGGCATCCATTCCTTTGAAAATATCTTTGGGCAACGTCTCAAGACTATTGTAGGCAAGACTCCTAACAAACAAAAATAATTAACAAACACTTAACAATAAGGTTTTGTATTGTTAACATTAGTTAACTACATTAGTTAACAAACTAAGAAAGAACAATATTTGTACAGCATTTATAATTTTTTTTTTTAATTTAGATTAGAATTAGTATCTGTTAACATCATCAAAAATGTGCATATTAATATATATACAATTGTAATAATTAAATCAAATATTATAATAATATATTTGTATTTTATAGTTCAAAAAGGATATACTCACAGGTGAATGAGAGATTTCAAACCTCTGAAGGCATGGGGCGAAAGCGACTCAATTTTGTTGTTTTCGATAAATCTAAAACAGAGTGTTGCATTTATATTGAAACTGAGTTATCTAAAAAGACTGACCGTTTCAAACATAGAAAATCAAACTCACAGATATTCCAGATGTGGCAGGCCTTGGAAAGCACCTTCGTCGATGGAGTCGAAAGAATTGGCTGTAAACAATCTAAGAAGTCATGGGGGAAAAAACATAGTTCCAATGGTTTCAGAGTTTGTGACTCTAGGTTTTAAAGGTATAGTTCACCCAAAAATGAAAATTTGATGAAAATGTACTCACCCTCAGGTCATCCAAGCTGGAGATGAGTTTCTTCATTGGAACAGATTTGGAGAAATGCAGCACTGCATCACTTGCTCACCAATGGATCCTCTGCAGTGAATGGGTGCCGTCAGAATGAGAGTCCAAACAGCTGATAAAAACATCACAATAATCCGCACCACTCCAGTCCATCAGTTGCGTGTTTGTAAGAAACAAATTTGAATTGCATACGAGTCCTCTGTGCATATTGTGAAAAAGTCATCTTGTCCGAGTCAGGAGAGAAATATAAACAGATCAAACAATGTTTACAAGCGAAAACAGTCTAAACAAACAACAGTTCTAAACAAATATGACAGTGGATTTTGATGTGAGAGGATAACAGGGGATGGACTTTTTCACTGGAGGAAGCGTTATTATGGATTATGGTTTAAAGTTAAAACATCTTAATGATGGATTTGTTTCTTACAAACATGCAGCTTTTGGCTTCACAAGACATTAAGTGATGGACTGGAGTGGTGGGGATTATCGTGATGTTTTTATCAGCTGTTTGGACTCTCATTCTGACGGCACCCATTCACTGCAGAGGATCCATTGGTGAGCAAGTGATGTAATGCTACATTTCTCGCATTCTGTTCAGATTAAGAAACAAACTCATCTACATCTTGGATGGCATGAGGAGGGTGAGTAATTGTTCAGCAAACTTTCATTGTTGGGTAAACTATTCCTTTAAGCAATGTTTAATTTGTTAACACAAAAAAATACAACCACATTTGTGACCACAAATATGTTTCCCATCAGACGTTAAATCAACCCCGGACATCAGTATACGGCAATCAGTTTCATCCTGATGAGCACAAAATAACATCAGCATTCTAGTTCTCCCCGCATACCTTTCTGTTTTTAATTATATTGCTGAAAGACCCCTGTCACACATAGTTATTTCTAGCCTAGCATATACTCAGCCAGACTGGTATTTTCACATAATCTTCTTATAAATTCTTTCCATGTGTGCCGATGACAAGTTATTGCACAATCAGACCAAACACCGGGTGAAAAGATAAAAGACTGGTCATATTTAGCATAATACTGCCAGTCAGATTTGCATTTGCTATTGTGTGAGTTTACATTTGCATAGAAACGCATTATTAACTTACTGCCTTCAAGCTTTTCCGTTGCAGATTTCTAAGGTTTCGTGTTTTATAAACTGGGAGCAAGTCGGTGTGACATTATAAAACTGCAGAGATTTTCTTATTTGTTTATTAAGGGGACGGGGCCATGTCCCTCACAGAGCAGCTGCACTGCATAATATTCACACCCATTTAAAGGCTTTGAGAAATTAGACACACTGAAGAATGGCTGTTTTAAAGGGGGACGGGCTGTAATTGCTTAGAACAAACATTGGACCACTTAACATGGTGATCACCCCATCCCAATAAAGAAAAAAGCACACATAACACTGACAGAAACTCACAGAAGCTGAAGGGATGGCGTGTGGAGAAAGCCTCCCCCTGCAATCTCAGTGAACCCAGACTTCACAAATGATCTGTTAGGAAAAGAATCAGTGCAATTTAAACAGTGCACGCATACAACACATGCATATTCAGAGATGCATACATTCAGAGTTGTTATATTAATCCGTACTGTCCTGGAATATAATGTAAAGTGTAGCAGGACACTTACAGTGAGACGACATCGGGAGGGAAGCTGTGTGGCACAGATCTCACGTTTTCACACAAGGCGTTATCTTTGGTGCATGTGCATCCAGAGGGGCATCTGGGCTGTTTGCCTCTTCTGCTCTGGGCTAACAGAAGTAGTGTGGCAGCCCAGAGCAGAAAAGTGTATCCTCTTATGTTTGCATATCCCATTCTGTCCCGGTGTGTTCCTGAATGCCGCGCGCTGCTGTGGTGTGTTCGCCGGTGATGAGTGCTGCTCTGCTGCTCACCTCTCTTCAGTTGTGTCCGTGTGATGAATGTCTATGTCTCAGTGTGCCAGGCGCTCATCCAAACGATTCGTTCTGCTACAATGAAAGTATCCAGCGGGCTCAAAATGCCTTAGTTGCATGTAGATTGAGTTAATACAACCCGATTTCTTTTTAAATTGTGACGCTGTGAAAATGAAAGTGAAAAGAAAAAAATCTAATGTTTTCCTTGGCGACGCGGGGTAAAGCATCAATTTCTTCAGATCCTGGGAGAATCCCTCTTTTGCATCATGATGTACCAGCTGCCATCCAATGGTGTTATTACTGTGAATGCGCATGAACCATATCCATGAATAAGTGATAGTGAGAATATTCACGAGGCTCTGGAGTGATGCACCTGCGCCCCTCAAGCAATCAGAAAGAGATGGGAAAGAAATACTACGCTGTTATATTGTTATTCTTTTATAGCATTACTTTAAATAAAATGATTACCATAATTCAACTGCGTTATATTTATAATGTAGGCTAAATAGCATTTGTAAATAGGCTATATATTGTGCATTACAAAAGGAAAATATATTCTCTATTATTATTCATTAAATGTATTTTTATTATAGCTAGGCTATATAATATAAATGGAATATAATAATATTGTAGAGTTAACACTTCACTTTTAGACTTTTAGTTCGATACAGTGATTATTTAAGCTCTATAGATCACACAGGCCTATACAGTATCATTTAAATTATTCACCAAATTATTATTAAATAGTTTTACGTAATTTTATCCTTTCCAGAAATGGTTGGAAGCCCATAAGGCTTGTTTCTTTGTTGCATTGCATGTATATTTCACATGGACATTTGAGAACAGTAAAGTGCCTGCAACTCTTTCAGTGCTTTCATTTTTAGCTTTTTTTCAGAGTTGTTCTATTTTTGAGAAAATGGCTCTTCGCCCCCGTACCCCCTATAATTTCCTGTCACTGAATCTTTACCCATTTCCGATGAAAACAAGTCTGAATTATCATGCGAACAATAAAGTCCGTTTGAAACAAAGAACACAGGCAACTAAAATCACACGCAAGTTCTGGCAATTTCCCCACTTTTATATTTTATCTGTAACACATTCACATTAAGCCCTCTTGTTTTATTTTTAAAGCATGTAAATAACAATTCTTCCGAATGCACCGTAACATGACATTCACACAAACTGAGACAACAGAATCAGCCTTAAAGGGGTCATATGATGCGATTTCAATTTTTCCTTTCTCTTTGGAGTGTTACAAGCTCTTGGTGCATAAAGAAGATCTGTAAAGTTGCAAAGACTAAAGTCTCAAATCCAAAGAGATATTCTTTATAAAAGTTAAGAGTCAGCCACGCCTACCTAAAACGGCTCGTTCTAACACGCCCCCACATGTCTACATCACTATGTGGGCAGATTTGCATAACGCCGCCCAAATGTTCACGCAAAGAAAGAAGGCATAACTTTTATTCTCGCTGTAGTATTGTTGACGCTGCAGCCATGTCGTGAAGGCGCTGTGTGCTTCGTTGTGAAAGCGAAACTACTTTGTTTGGTCTTCCAAAAGAGGACGATATCCGCTTCGTCATGCCTGGAGCTGATCCGTGCTGGTCGCTGAGGGAATACATCAACTTTCACCGTGGACGAAGTGGAGTTTAGCCCGCCTCAGCTCACTCTATCCCGGCCTTCCCCTCACGCTAGGCCGCTGTGTTTTTCGTTGCCACTGATGATTCAAACGTGAGTTTTGAGAAATCGCGTTCCGGGGGTTAAAAAACACGTTTTGGCGGATTCTCCCTGGTAAAATCTACACTCCAGGAGCTAAATATCACGTTGTCGGGCTCGCTTTAACCCGCGGACATGAAAAACAACCCGGGAAAACGTGGACGTGGCAACACTGAGCACAAGACCCAAGTGCGTTTGGAGAACGCGACTGCCTTTGTTTTGGTCACGTGGTGCATACGTCATCACTGCGCGCCCGTCTTTTAGATTCAGCTGCATACAAACACAGATGAGCGGCGTGGATAAAACTGCTCTAGACCTTGTGAAGGTAGTTATGAATCACAAGTCATGCACGGGAGATTTGATTGAACTGTTTGCGTTGTAATGCTGCGACCGCTTGCCACGCATGACTTGAAAGTATACTTTATTTTTTGTCTCATATCGCACACCGATCATCCATGGCGCGTTATTTTTCACGGTATTAATCCCAGAACAGATTTGCTTGTGCTCTTGTCAGTTAACACTGTAAAGCCTGACATATGTGTTGCATGATATTGACATTTTATTTCTCATATAGTATGATATAGTGAGAATATGGTGCTCCACCTGAGGAAAAATGCATTTGCTGATGTTTATATAAAAGTAAGATGCAATTCTGATAGCTTGTAATGTAAATCAATGAGATCTTTATAACAGTATAGCAGGCAACTTGAATAAAATCCATATAAATATCAGTTGTCACTCTATTTTTCCCAGTAATATGTTTAAATAAGATCATATTTTATGCTTTGTTTTATGATCAAACAAATGATTTTATTGTGGGGGCAAACATATAATGCAATCCGAGAGATGAACAAATAAACATTCCTCAAAGGCCTGTTGTATCATATTTGATATTTACATTTTAATATGACTTTTCTAAAAAAAAAAATGATGTAAGGATAAGTAAGTAAACCTAAGCTGAAAATAGAATTTGTTCTAATGTTTATCAAGATGTCACAACAAAAAGACATGTATATCATAAACTGAAGGTGGACGTTTTTACAACGATTCTAAAAGGCCTTTTTCTTGCTAAAAAGTATCATTTTACATATGCAAGAAGTGCTCACAGTACAAAGTTTCAGACATCATTTAGAACAATATAAGCAAGAACAGGAAGGCTTTAAAGAAATGTGAAATAAGATAATGCTGCGTTGTGTTCTGTTTTAGGTCCATGGAGGAGGAGGGTATGACTCAGATTTCAGTGATGATGATGGTGGTGTTGGAGGAGGGCAGTCCAAATATGGTGAGAATAGGTGAGAGTTTGTTTTATATCTTTAACAAAACATACCATGGTTTTTGGTGTCATATTTTTGGGGACCATGGTAATACCATATTTTCAAATATGTAGTCCATGTAGTACCTTGCTACATTAAAGGAATAGTTAAAAATGTATTTGCTGAATGCTGAACATTTACTCACCCTCAGGCCATCCAAGATGTAGATGAGTTTGTTTCTTCATCAGATTTGGAGAAATGTAGCATTCCATCACTTGCAGTGAATGGGTGCCGTCAGAATGAGAGTCCAAACAGCTGATAAAAACATTACAATAATCCACACCACTCCAGTCCATCAGTTGTCTTGTGAAGTGAAAAGCTGCATGTTTTTAAGTAACAAATCCATCATTAAGACATTTTTAACTTCATACAGTCCTCTATCCATAATATTGCTTTATCCAGTGGACAAAAAGTCCTCTCGTTTGAATCAGGAGAGAAATATGCACAGATCAAACACCGTTTGCAAGCGAAAAGAGTTCAACACAAAACAAATGTGTTGTTAGATTTTGATATGAGAGGACAACAGGGGATGGACTTTTTCACGGGAGGAAGCGCTATTATGGATTATGGACTCGGAAATGTTAGCCAGAAGAGACAGTTTAAGTAAAAAAATCTTAATTATGAATTTGTTTATTGCAATCATGCAACTTTTTGCTTCACAAGATGTTAATAAATAGACTGGAGTGGTGTGGATTGCTTGTGGATTATCATGATGTTTTTATCAGCTGTTTGGACTCTCATTCTGACGGCACCCATTCACTGCAGAGCATCCTTTGGTGAAAGTGATGTAATGTTCAATTTCTACAAATCTGTTCATATCTTGCATGGCCTGAGGGTGAGTACATTTCCAGCAAATTTTCATTTGGGTGAACTATTCCTTTAAGTTTTAAGGGGTATTTAATGAGGAAAAGGAAGGATTTTTGAATATCTGTAAAACGAATTTGAATGCAAAATAACCGCATATCATTAGAAAGAATGCAATTAGCACTAATTGTCGGCGCTTTCACTTTAAGTGCTGGTCGTCTTGTGTGTGTTTGGTTTTAGGGAAGGTAAAGACGAGCTGTTACAGAAGCCATTCCAGAAAGGAAAACACACCAAAGTGGCCCATAAAAATGTTGCTGCCCATGAATGGGACAGGTACAGGTCACATCCATCAAAAATAGCAAAATAGTCCATAAAGTCCAGTATGTGTGTGTACTGAAATCAGTGTTGATTTTTTCCTGACAGAGAGGAAGCCAGAAACCGACGGCAACACCTGATATCAATGAACGCTGTATCCTGTCAATGGCTATTTTCAACACATGTTGTGACAGTGGCAGTTTTTAAATGGCTTTCTATTTCTTTACAGTTCATTTTGCATTCTATGTTTCCAACTCTAGAGACTGAATGAGACTATTTAATTGTGACCCTGGAGCACAAAAGCAGTCTTAAGTCGCTGGGGTATATTTGTAGCAATAGCCAAAAATACATTGTATGGGTCAAAATTATCGATTTTTCTTTTATGCCAAAAATCATTAGGATATTAAGTAAAGATCATGTTCCATGAAGATATTTTGTAAATTTCCTACTGTAAATATATTAAAACTTAATTTTTGATAAGTAATATGCATGGCTAAGAACTTCATTTGGACAACTTTAAAGGTGATTTTCTCAATATTTAGATTTTTGTGCACCCTCAGATTCCAGATTTTCAAATAGTTGTATCTCGGCCAAATATTGTCCTATCCTAACAAACCATACATCAATGGAAAGCTTATTTATTAAAAAAAATGGACTCTTATGACTGGTTTTGTGGTCCAGGGTCACAATTTGTATTGAGTTTAAAATACATAGAGTGTTGAAAGTGCATTTTTAGTGAAGTTTGCCCAGTAGTTTTAATAATCTTTTCCTCGTCATTTCGTTTGAGTGGTAAAACATCCTTAACAGCATTTTGTAAGTTTGAGCGTCATAAGAAGTTTGTCAGCGATTACATTCTGTACTATGGAGGAAAGATTGAGGACTTCAGGCGATCCATGTGAGCAGTTTACTTTGTCTGGCTTCTGTAGAAATACTATCAATCATTATATTTGTGTGCAAATTAAACACATGATGTGTTCAGGTAACTGGTGCAGAATTTACACACTTCAGCTTTAATTCCATTTCAGGTTAGCTGCTTTGATAGATGCTGATTGGAGCTGTGTGTTTCCATCTGCAGGTCTAAAGATAAGACAGATCTGGATGTGGTGAGAGAGAACCACCGTTTCCTGTGGAGAGAGGAGGATGAGGAGGATATGACATGGTAATGTCCGCTTTTCTCTGTTTGGGGTTCATTTTAATCTTGAATATTGTTCTTGACCTCTGCACAGTCACCTTAAGATAAAGCTTCTGAAATGTTCAGGGAGAAAGAGCTCGCAAAGAAATACTACGATAAGCTCTTCAAGGAGTACTGTATCGCTGACCTCAGCAGATACAAAGAAAATAAGGTCTGTCTTGTCTTTTTAACCTTGTAACGCCTGACGTATGAAATGATATGATTCGAAATGGAACAGTTTATTGAACCTTTAGACAAAAACTTTTGCATAATATGTGTTTTGTTTTGTATTGTATTTGAAACATCACACTTTGGAGCACAAAAGCAGTGTTAAGTCGCTGGGGTATATTTGTAGCAATAGCCAAAAATACATCAAAATGATTTTTGTTTTATTTATTTTTCTTTTATGCCAGAAATCATTAGGATATTAAGTAAAGATCATGTTCCATGAAGATATTTAGTAAATTTCCTACTGTAAATATATCAAAACTTAATTTTTGATTAGTAATATGCATTGCAACTTTAAAGGCGATTTCCTCAATATTTAGATTTTTTTTGCACCCTCAGATTCCAGATTTTCAAATAGTTGTATCTCGGCCAAATATTGTCCAGTCCTAACAAACATACAACAATGGAAAGCTTACTTATTCATTTTGAAAAATTGACCCTTATGACTGGTTTTGCGCTCCAGGGTCACATATAGTATAGTATAGTTTTGATCATGTTGATCATTTAGAAGCCTTAGAAATTCACACATCAAATATGATACAGGCTCTATAGGATTACATGTTTCTTATGCTAAATTCTTTTCTCAACGTGTTATTTTTTTTAATATCTTAAATGCTCTATCATTTCAGATTTACTGAATTAGAACTTTTCTGTTAGTTTGGATTTAGGTGGCGCGTAGAAAATGAAGTAATATTCAAATAGTTGTATCTCGGCCAAATATAGGTCCTGTCCTAACAAACATACAACAATGGAAAGCTTACTTATTCATTTTGAAAAATTGACCCTTATGACTGGTTTTGTGCTCCAGGGTCTCGGCCAAATATTGTCCAGTCCTAACAAACATACAACAATGGAAAGCTTACTTATTCATTTTGAAAAATTGACCCTTATGACTGGTTTTGCGCTCCAGGGTCACATATAGTATAGTATAGTTAGTATAGTTTTGATCATTTAGAAGCCTTAGAAATTCACACATCAAATATGATACAGGCTCTATAGGATTACATGTTTCTTATGCTAAATTCTTTTCTCAACGTGTTATTTTTTTTAATATCTTAAATGCTCTATCATTTCAGATTTACTGAATTAGAACTTTTCTGTTAGTTTGGATTTAGGTGGCGCGTAGAAAATGAAGTAATATCTGGAAAAGGTAATTCAAGAACATTTCTATTCTTCTATACTTGTATATAAAAAATAATATGGTCACACTTTAGTTTAGGGACCAATTCTCACTATTAACTAACTATTAACTGTGACTTTTTCTCAATAAACACCTAATTTGCTGCTTATTAATAGTTAGCATAGTAGTTGTTCAGTTTAGGTATGGCGTCAGATTAAGGGATTTAAAATATGGTCATGCAGAATAAGGCATTAATATGTACTTTATACGTACCAATAAACAGCCAATATGCATGCTAATATGCAACTAGTTAATAGTGAAAATTGGTGCCTAAACTAAAGTGTTACCAACAACATTAATATGTTCACATACATCAAGTATTCTGATTGCATAATGAAATTCAGAGCAATACCAAAACAATAACGTCCTCAATCACTAGGTGGTGATAAAGTTTTACCATGTGTAAAGTAACACTGTCATCTGACCAAACCAGGGATGGACTGGGACTGAAAGAACAGCTCTACCGGCCCATCTCAGCCAGATATAGTTTGCATTGCAAAAACAGTAGTTCATTTGCATAATAAATATTCAACATATAAGTGAATTGATCAGTTAGTTAAAGCTGCAGTACGTAACTTTTGTAACTCTAGCAGTTAACAAACAGAACTGCGTGCGTCTTGCGGAAGAACATTGCAGCCGGAGCTACTTCTCTCTGTTTATGTCTATGGCGACTCACGCAGGTCCTGGGCTACTCCGCAGCGGTACCTATCCGAACCGGTCTAAATAGTCCGAATATAAACACTTATTATAGGTGTACCGTAGTGATTCAGGTCTCAGGACAAGCCAAAAACACGGTTTGGAAAATGGATTCATGGTGTACTTGCTTATTATATAAATTAAAAAAAATTTGAACACAAAATATTTACGGACTGCAGCTTTAAGAATCCAGTGTTCACAGCCGAATGCACTTGTTTCCCCATTGAAATAGGCACATTTGATTACACTTTCATTTCATTTAAACAAGTTTTCTTCAAAATGTTCGAAAGTATGAAGTTTGTTTATTTAGTCTTAACAGACGAATTAATTGCAGATTATTATTGCTTGGCATATAGATTATAATATGACAGCGACCCAGTTGTAAAGTGGTGGGTTTGCCTGTGTCATAACGAAAAGCAATGAATTTGAATGCTGTTGTCTCTGGGTCGTGGTTCACGGTTAAGCTATCTTGGTAAGCAAACAAGGGTGAAGTATGTGTAACAATCAGCGGAATTACACAAACAAATCAATGAAGAGGCCTTTAAATGATTGATGAAATGATCGTACACTGTCACACTTATCATGAGTCACAGCCCATCTGCTGTCAGGCATCTCTCGCACCCTGAGCCGCAGATGAACCACCACAAGCTGGTGGCGTGATGCAACATGACACACACACACACTTACACAAACTCCTATTCTGGACCAGTGTTATTTTAGAATTACTGTATTTATATTCTATTATAGTTTTAATTAATTAGCATTTATTTTTTAATTTTAGTGTAATTGTTAATCATTTATATTATCCCGTACGGTAGTATGTGTCCTGTTTACTTTTTTTTATTTTTATTTTTTCAGAGCAAATGCATTTTGCAATGTCATGCATTTTTCTATTTGAAGATTATTTGAAAAAGACACGTTTTAAAATAAGGTAAAACAGCTCAAATATTTATTTCTTAAAATATTTTCTATTTTAATTTGTTACCTTAGCAACTTTTATTTAAGAATCAGGGTTTCCACAGTATTGGAAAACCTAAATATATGAGGAAATGTCTAATATATGTGTAATATATATGTAAAATATATGTGTAATTTGTAAATCTGTTCCATTGAAATGAATGAAATGATCAATTTTTCTAATTATGTGAAGTTCGAGGAAATGGTATTTGCGGGGGGGAAAAAAAATCACGTCTTCACAAAACTACTGGGAAATTTAGTTTCTGAAACTTCTGGAATAACAGAATTAAATTATTATTATTTTTTTTACATTTATTTTATTTCAATGTTTTTTAATATACTGTAACTCCTAGTTTCTGTAAGTTAAAAAAAAAGTAAAAAGCATCTTTGTCGGCAGGAGTACTAGAAATATGTGGGGCCTTGGAGTCAAAAAGGTTGAGAACCACTGCACTTTAAGTATCACTATTACTATTGTACATACTTTAACATTAAACTTGGCAATGTAACCGGAGCACCATTAGGTCTACAGCTTAATGAGGAGAGTTTGTTGAAGATTTCATCCTTGCACATAGTGGCATGTTTTGCATTAGTAAACACCACTCACAGTTTCTCAAGCAAATGTGAAAATCATATATGTTTTGTTACCAGCACTTTCTGTTTCTACTGCTGAGGGACATTTTAACAGGTCCCTTTAGGAGTTTGTCATGAGGAGTTCCCATCTGCTGGTCATTTCACAGTTTAGCATAATGAGGGCATCCCTGAGACTCCTAATAAGGGTTAACCCTGATGCGTTTTGACGCAGTTTGTCAGCTTCACTGGCTTTAACAGCTTCAGTGCTGCTCACGCGAGCTTAATTGGAGAGGTTGGAGTGGCATGTACGTCATCAGAGAGACGGGGTAATTGTGCGTCTCGTTATCCGCATGTGCATTTTTTTTTTCAGTCCAAACCTTTTTTCTGAGAATTGCACTTTTAAATCTTACATTTGCTATAGTTATAAACTCGTAATTATAAGTTTGCATCTCGCTATTTTTTTTTTTTGTAATACTAAAAAAAAAAAAAACTATATTAAAAAAATACTATAAAAAAAAGATAATTGTGACTTTTTATCTCCCAATTCTGACTTTTCTGAGAACTGTGAGTTTATATTTTCGAACTCTGAGTTTATATCTCACAATGACTTTTGTTTGTTTGTTTTTCTGCCATGGAATAATGCAAAATTGAGAGTTTATATTTCTGCAATTCTGATTTTTTTTCCCCCTCACAATTGCATGGAATTAAAAGGTAACTGTGACTTTTTATCTCGCAAGATATATCTATCTTTTTTCTCAGAATTGTGAGTTTATATTTTCCAGTTCTGAGTTAATATCTCGCAGTTGAGATTCTGTTGTTTTTGTTGTTGTTTTTATTCCACCATGGTATTAAAAAAAGGCAATTGCAACTTTTTATCTTGCAATTTGAACTTTTTTTTCAGAATTCTGAGTTTACGTTACATTTTTTCCATCACAAAAAAAAAAGTATTTGTGACTTTTTTAACTCGCAATGACTTTTCTCTGAATTGTGAGTTTTTTCCTCACTATTCTGACTTTATATTTCACAATTTCCTTAATATTGTGAGAAAATAAGTCAGAATTGTGAGATCTAAACCCAGAAATGTGAGGAAAAAAGTCTCAAGCGTAAGATAAAAAGTTACAATTACCTTTATTTTGTTGTTCGTTTGTTTTCTCCATAGCAGAAATATGCATCCATACTTTTAGCAGTTCACTTTCAGCAGAAGTGTGCGTGGGCTCAGGGCGATCAGGTACAGACCAAAGCCGATCCAGACGACACACTGTCAGAAGTGTGGGAAGCCTGGCAGAAAAACTCCCTGATGACGCACTTTTCCCTTGGCTCCAATCTGGAGTATCCCCTTGTAAGCCTGCTGGAGCTAATGTCAGCCCGCTGATATCTGAGGTGAAATGTTGGCCAGGCTAAGGTCATGCGAGGAGAGTGGCTTTCGCTGTTTGTCTATCTCTTGAACCATTTCTTGTCAGTAACGGTAGCGATATCATGTGCAGCAGTTACAGCCTGTTCTCCATTTAGCTTCCCACTGGCTATATATTGTACATGTATTTTCATCAGGCTGAATCAGTTTAATCTAGGGGCTGGATTCACAAAACATTCTTAAGAACAAAATCCTTCATTTTCTAACATCAGAATAAAGTTGAGAATATTTTGTATTCCCAAACTACCCGAATATCCACTATTCACGATTAACTAGTTGCTTATTGGAATGCATATTACTAGCATATTGGCTGTTTATTAGTACTTTAATGCCTTATTCTGCTTGACCATATTCTAGATCTTTTAACCCTATCTAATACCTAAACATACCTACTACAACAGCTACCTTAATGTCTATCAATAAACAAATAATTAGGAGTTTATTGAGGGTAAACACTTAGTTAACAGTGATTATGTGTTCCTTAATCTGAAGTGTTACCAAATATTCTTGTGTATTTTGTTGATCCTGACAACATTGCTGTGCAAACATTATCCTATCGCCATCTAAACATAACCCTAACCATAACTTACCCCTAAAACCAGAGGGTAATTATAGGTAAATAAGAATGGTGTGGAAGCCATTAACCCTGATTCAGTGAGCCAAAACTTGACATAATAGTAAACGATCCATCATCTGATTGGTTAAATGGAATTGGATTGATAGGTAAGTAGGCGGTCCTTAATAGTTGTTTGGGACACATCAAGACACCTTATACACTATCAATATGAAATGAATGTTTCAGAACACCTCCAAATGTGGTTTCATATTTCAGATTACTAGACGCGTTTGATCATAAGCAATAGGATCACTGGAGACCACCTTGAGATGTTAATACTAGGTCTAAATGTGGCCTAATATACACTCTAAAAAAGGCTGGGTTAAATACAACCCAGTGCTGGGTAAAATAGGGACAAACCCAGCAATTGGGTTGTTTTGACCCAGCGGTTGGGTTACTACCCAGAAGGTTGGGTTGAACATTTAACCCAACCGCTGGGTCAAAACAGCCCAATTGCTGGGTTTGTCCCTATTTTACCCAGCACTGGGTTGGCCAAAACTTGACATAATAGTAAACGATCCATCATCTGATTGGTTAAATGGAATTGGATTGATAGGTAAGTAGGCGGTCCTTAATAGTTGTTTGGGACACATCAAGACACCTTATACACTATCAATATGAAATGAATGTTTCAGAACACCTCCAAATGTGGTTTCATATTTCAGATTACTAGACGCGTTTGATCATAAGCAATAGGATCACTGGAGACCACCTTGAGATGTTAATACTAGGTCTAAATGTGGCCTAATATACACTCTAAAAAAGGCTGGGTTAAATACAACCCAGTGCTGGGTAAAATAGGGACAAACCCAGCAATTGGGTTGTTTTGACCCAGCGGTTGGGTTACTACCCAGAAGGTTGGGTTGAACATTTAACCCAACCGCTGGGTCAAAACAGCCCAATTGCTGGGTTTGTCCCTATTTTACCCAGCACTGGGTTGAATTGAACCCAGCATTTTTTAGTGTACATTAATTGGGACCTGAATGTTATACAGATATGCAGTATTCTGTAAATGATAAGTGTTTGAATTCTGCAGAGTTAATGGTGCTGCTTCTGTTTGGGCCTGGTCATCATATCTGTCGTGTATGTTCACTGTATTTCACATGTGGATATCTTGAATTACACAGGCCAGTTCCATTGTGGAAACAAGCGCTGTGAGAATAAGGAGGGTCTGAAGAGCTGGGAGGTGAATTTTGCCTATGTGGAGCAGGGGGAGAAGAGGAACGCCTTGGTGAAGCTGCGTAAGTGCCAGAGCCGCACCGACCACGTGGCCGACAGATAAAATCGAATGAATTTGTTTCAGCCTTTTCAAATATTTATATATTGTCATGATATTTTCAAGGTCTGTGTCCAGAGTGTTCCTTCAAACTAAACTATCATCACAAGTAAGATCATTCAGCCATTACAAACACAATTACATGTTCAGATATTCTTAGACCTGGAGACCTTGACTCTTAAACTGGGCTATCTGTTCCAGGAGAAAGGAAGTAACGGTAAAGAAGAGACCGCAGTCGAAAGAGAATCTGGACAAGTCAGTCTCAAAGAAATCCAGAAAGCAGAAGCGCAAAGACAAACGCAAACACAAAAAGAGGCGCAAAGGCAAGCACGTTTTCAATGCAAATCAAGATCCCAAACATTTCCAAGACGTGGAATTGTTGGGAAAGCATTTCATTGTATGTCTATGCTAAACTTTGACTTGTTTTTGTGGTGGTGTTTTGTACTCTAGTTAAAGAACTTTAGAGAGCATGTCAATGACTTTTACACAGAAAGGTTGTTGTCCTAAAGAAGATTAAGCCCATTTGTAAAATACTAATCATTTGGGAACTAAATGGGGATGAAAACCTGGTTTCAATTAATGGTTTATGTTGCCCAAACATGCTTGTTAAATAAACCACATTTATTTCTGTACAGAATACTCATCTTCAAATTCGGAAGAGTCCCAGGGTTCAGATAAAGGTATACATACCCCTTTTTTCACCAAAAATGACTAATGGCCGTCATCTAGCACCCTCAGGCAGAGAATGTACTCCGTATGTTCAGACCACTGAAACAACTCCGGAAACTCCTGTATTCAGAGAAGCCCATGTTGAAGCAGATGTTGGATGAGGTCATTTAAATCCCTGACCTTAAAGGAACACTCCACTATTTTTTAAAATAGGCTCATTTTCCAACTCCCCTAGAGTTAAACAGTTGAGTTTTACCGTTTTCAAATCCATTCAGCCGGTCTCCGGGTCTGGCGGTAGCACTTTCAGCTGTAGCTTAGCATAGATCATTGAATCTGATTAGACCGTTAGCATCTCGCTCAAAAATGACCAAACAGTTTCTATATTTTTCCTATTTAAAACTTTTTTAAAATAGGATTTTAAATATAAACGACTCTTCTGTAGTTACATCGTGTACTAAGACCGACGGAAAATGAAAAGTTGCAATTTTCTAGGCCGATATGGCTAGGAACTAGGCGTAATCATCAAGGAACGTTGCTGCAATATTGCATGTGGGCATGTAACTCACCCCACACGGAGTAGTTCTTTTACTACAATACCTTTATAAGGCTTACATCCTGCTAGTAGTGTGCTTAGATATATGTGAGTCTAATGTGGTGTATTTTCTAGATGCAGAGAGTGAAGAAGAAGAGGAAGAGGGTCCTTCAGAATCAGACCACTGGAGGGGTCCAGCGCCCACTGTGGAGGAGAAGTCACGGTGAGATCCGTTTATGCGTCGTTATAATGTATTTTACTACAATGCAGAGTATATGTGTACACAAATGTGGGAAATGTGTCTCGAAAGCTCTTGAACACTGGAAATGTCTTTTTAAATCACAGTTAACTGACAAACCTGATGCGTCCGATTCTTTTTCAGGGAGGAAGAGTTTGATGAGTATTTTGAAGACATGTTTCTCTGAGTCGAGGAAGGAAGATCCAAAAGAATCTCATGCCTACTGTTTTCTTTTTATACCGGTTAGTTTTGTTTTTGAGAAGAATAGTTTGATTACAATTTGTTGATTATTATTTAAATTTTTTGTAATAATTTCTACTGTGTCTCATTCAAGCATAAAAATTTGCATATGAAGAATTGTATACATGTGTTTGTAAAACACATTTGGCCTTATTCATAATAAAACATTACCATAATTTGTGTATGTGTATATATATATATATATATATATATATATATATATACTATATATATATCTGTATACAAGACATATATAATATATATACTGTATATATATTTCTGTACAAGTCATTTATAAAAGTATTACGTCAGTTGTTGCATTGAACAGAATGTGTATAAACACACACACACATATAAAAAATTTAATTACAAGTATACGAAAATGTATTCTGTATATATATATATATATATATACTGTATGTATACATGTATGTTTACAATTGATGTAATTGCATAGAAATTAATTAATTAACGTGTAAAGCGCATGTAAAATCATAGATAATTTTAATATATACATTGTGTTCAATGCAATAACTGACATAATAGTTTTACAACTGACTTGCGCAAATATTTGTTCTGTTCAGATTTTATATGAATGAGGCCTGCTGTGTTTATCAGTATATTTAAGTGCTTTTTTATTGAAGTGTTTTCTTTTAAAGTTTGGTGAGCTCAGATATTTACCACAAAGAGATATTTGAGTTTCTGTAAGTACAGCAGTCCATAACAATATTTTGGGAGCCCATAGCAACTTAACTGAGTTTAAAGTCAGACACTATCAATGTTTGTATCATCTGACCCAGAATGACAGACGTGCTGTTGTCCCTTTTGCCTTGAAATCACAAATGCATTATCACAGGCTTTTTGAAATGGACAGACTTTCTGTTTTATACCCCTCACGTCAGGCTCTCAGGTCAAACTCACATGGTCACGGTAGACTGTCAAGCGTACCCGATGGTGGCTGCCAGCCAATCAATGAAGAATCAGTCAGATGGGGTCAGAAAGCCTTTTGTTCACTCTGCTCTGTTATTCAGCATGTCTAATATGTGGAAGTTCCCCTGTGATTGCATTTATGATGCATTTCTGTGTTTCCACGAAACATAAAATGACAGTTGGTGTGGTCTGGTGTTATAAACATTCAACATGAAGCATTTGGTTTTATATTGAAAGACCTACAGATAGAGAAGTGGTTTGTCTTGGCTGTCAGCCAATTACCAGAGCCTCTTTACCTGGGGATGATCCAGTTTTATTAGGTAATCCGCTGCATGATAGAAAAAGTCAGGAGAGGTCGTGTTTTCAGTAGTTTAAAGGCAAAGTGTGTAATTTTATGTGAAGTTAAAATGCTTTCAGCCCAGTTTAATATGTAGAGACAGCTATAAGAGAGCCATTTGTAAGTTGATTTTACAAAAAAAAGTGTAATGCTGGGTCTGTTCAAACATTAAGCAACCCGACAACAGCAACACCAATGGTGTTTGTTTGGGGGTGGGGCTATCTGTTTGTTTGACCAATTACAAATGAGGGGTGTGTTGAGAAAACATGTTTGAAAACAGTCAGTATTTTTGCAATTCCCATTTGGTGTTAGACTTTACACACGTCACCAGTGTGATTTAGTGAATTCATCAAAAGAATAAACATCAAATTAGATGCTTCTATGATCAGTTTTCAGAGAAGCTAATTCACGTGATTCTGGAATCATTCGAGGAGTTTGATATTTTGAGAAATTAGCAACTGGTAAGAAAGTTATTCATGCATATTGCTCTAATTCTTAATGTTTTTGCTGTTTAAATGACATACAACAGTCTTGAAAACTGTTAAGGACTCAAAAGCCATACTCCAAGTAAGCTCTGTGAACTACAGCACATTAAACATTTGCCGAGTCGTGTTTCGGCCACCACTGTGAGGTAAATGTAGTAGTTGCATATGCAGTACTTCCTCCGGCGTAGTTAGTTGTTAAACGATACAGTCGAGGTAAATTCATTGATTAGGTACAAGCTTGAAATTGTCTACAATGGTGCACTAGGCGGGCACCCCATCAGAAAGAACATCTGACAGGTACAGTTCTTCCATTTCTGGTGAATGCCTACATTTTCACTTGGAGAAGGTACATCCGAGGAAATGAGACAGAAAGCTGGTGAAAATGTAGTGATCCTAGGAGCACGTTTCACCTCCATCTACATACTGGCCCAGGCTTTTCTGTGGCTCTGAATATTTGTCAGATGATGTTTAAAATATGGTGCAGGTTTTGGACTTTCCTCCCTCTCCACCTCCATCCTCACCAGCGGCTTCAGTGAAGGAAAAAAAAAATAGAAAAGAGAAAATCAAGTTACTGCAAGGTTATGTCATGCACATTCCCCAAGGCTATAGGTCAGATTAGCACAGGGTGTCCCATTAACACTCAGAAAAAAGGTACCCTTTCAAAAAGTGCAAATATATACCATTTGGGTACTATTATGCACCCTTTAGGGATAAATAAGGTACAAAGGTATACCACCCCAGTGACAGCTTCTGTATCTTTTTTCTGAGAGTGTAGTGGGCATCCCTTGTCATTTTCTGATCCATTTCCCTCATCATTTCCTTTCCTTAATCTGCTCTCCCTGTGTGCCAAAACGGACCAAAAAAAAAGTCAGCTAATGGGTCCGACTTACATTTTTTAGCCTGCTCCTCTTCTAGTCGCTTTCGTTCATTCTCCAAAGCGTCTACTTTTACTTGGTGAATATCAGCCAATTCCTTCCAGTGGACCCTGTTGTTGTTCAGGCCATCAAACATGGGAGTGATCTCTTTGTGGAACCTTGAAAATTCCTGTATGAGAAAAGAGGCCTGTTACTGCAAGCATTCACAAGCCCACCAGTAACTGCCGATCCATCATTCCCTGTCAGAACATTTAAGCAATGTTGTTTTTACATTCCAGGAGAGGCCATTATGGACAAATGCCCCATTTTCTGCTTCCACGCATGTCTGTGTTGTGTAAAAGCTAAATTTATTCCAGCTTGACAGCTGGATGGATTTACCTTGTACACAAACGAGCACACAAAGTCAATGAAACCACACTGCATCTTCGGAAGTTCATCTGACTTGTTCCTGTCCATCATGGGCTGAGAAAAGATTCAAAGGATACATATTCTCATTCAGGCACTAGTTTTCTCACAATGCAACCAACTGAATGCAACCTTTCAAAAAGCAAAACTTGGTGAAATATATCTCTACAAACTCACAATGGGCTGTTGGTCTAGCACAGTCCTCTCCAGGTCTCCCTGCTCCCAGAATTCAGCTGCCACCATGAGAGCCACCTTTAGAAAAGAGTCTTTAGCTGATAATAAACAGTGGACTATCTTTTAACCCAATGCTAGATAATCCTGACTATGCATAACCAAAGTTGCACCTACTTTGCTCTGGACCTCCCATGGCTTTGTAATGGCGGACAAGTCACATCCAGTCATCATCATTGCCCTGTTTGGAAGCAAACACGTCTTCAAACGCTCAATTCAGTATGTTCTCAAGTAGCAGGGTTCTACTGAGAAGTGATGCTTACATAATGATTTCCTTCCTAATGGGATTGTTGGCAACATAGGCAATTGCTTCCTTCTCATCAGCCATTGGTTCGGTGGCATCAACGATCTTCTGGAACATGGTCCTTTTTCTGGGTTGGGGAAGAAAATGGAATGTAAACAAACAATCAGTACAATATGTTCAAGAGTGGCTCTACTTTAGGTGAACACATGCTCTTGAGCACTTACTTGAAATACAATGCCAGGTCAGTCGCAATGATACAGACATCATGCAAGTGCTGGACTGTCTCAAACTGGCGTTTCTGCAGACTTTGGAAAATGTTAACGTTCTGTAAAAGAGCCCAAAAAATTAAGTTGACCTGGTTATCATATTAAACTCTGGAACACTTTGTGCTTTGCGACACAACAAACCTCTTCTGCCATCAGCGTCTTGCTGTAATCAAGATGGTGCCTTTCCAATATGGAAGAGCCATGGAGCTTGGCCAGTGGTGATCCGCTCCTACATTGGAAATGGATTGTGAGTAAAATGTCTTCTGTGCCTTTTCTGAAAATATTAGTAGTAAAAAATATATATACTAAATTACTTTGTCTGGTAGAGATTGTTGGTACCCCTGTGGTCAATATCGTGACAGAATGCAGCCGCTACCATCGCAAAGGCATCAAGGTCGGAGTAGTATTTTCTCAGCTTTCCAGTCTTTTGGGCAAGCAAACGATATTCAATATCACAACCTCTTTGGTGGTAAATAATATGATGTGTGGACTGAAAGACTCACTTGCAGAAGACAGAACATGGTCTGGCCCACGTTAAATCCGTGCCTCCAGTTATGGTAGGTGATATCTCTGTAACCTTTTCGTACGGTGTACATCCATCTTGTCAGGACCTGGAGCAAGAGTAGACAGCGTTAAAATCCCCAAAAGTTTCACCCCAAAACTGAAGGAATGTCACGCTCTTGATTGCATAAATAATACATGAAAGTCCAGTAACAGTTGACATGTAATTCTTTATCTTCAGATTTGTTGCCAAACAGTTGCATTCATAGGCCCAGATATATTTCCATAAAAAATGTAAAATGCAATACATGGAAGTTTGTGAATGTTGGACATTTGATTTCTGTGGAAATCTGCTGAGCTTTCTGTGTGAGTCTGGTTATCGCTAATCACCTGCCAAAAATAAACACAGGCTCTAGTAATAAGATGAGTGCTACTTGGAAAATTAGCCTTAAGGGGTTATTGTGCTACACTTCCATTCCATACTCATGTGAATGCTGAAGACCGGCAATACAGACGATTTCTGAATTAAAAGCACCCAAACTTTAAGGCTGCAAATTTGTAGTGTTGCAGAAAATTGGAGTAGATTGTAAATTTTTATATTTTGGATGTATTATTATTTGTTAAATGTTTAAATAAGATGCCACAGAGCATGACATCACATCAGGGCCGTTGCACTGTTCAAAGACATTTTTCGAGCTCAAAGTATACAGTAGTTTGACCGCCCCAGTGTATTATTGTGGAAATGCTCATAAAGTCCAGTCTCACCTCTGCTGGCACTTTGAACTTCTCTACCACTCCGAGTTCAAAGAAACAGCGAATGCCACACTTGATAAGGTCAACCTCAGAGAGAGGAAAGTCGCTAAAACTAAATTCTAGCAGATCGACATCTTTGGCTACTGGAATGTTGGCTCTCTGTGTATTAAAATACAAGTAGATATATTAAACAAAACATCCTTCATGTTAAACATTTAAGATCAATAATATGTTCACTATGAATATACTGGTTCAGAGTAAAAAAAAAGTCATACCAAGAGTTTGTACATTTCTTTCTGATCGCAGTCCTCAGGGTTCATGTCAAACTTCTCTTTCGTGTTCTAACGAGACGAAAAACGTTTAGTTAACATAATAAAGACTGCAGTTTCTTAAAGCATAAGCTTGTATGATGCCTCACCAGAATCTGTTGGACTTCAGCTAGGGTGGCTTTGGTCTGGTACATAACCATTTCCGCTGAAATCTCTCTTTTCCATTCCGTCCGATTTAGTTTGTCATACGTGTCACAATTCAGTACAGACCATCCTAGGAGCTGTGTTAGGGCCTGAAACAAAGTCAGAAAAACACAGTGTTGCAGCACAAGATTAAATGGAGCTAAAAGGATGGTGACCATTTAACGACTCACTTCAGTAATTTGTTCATCCTGCTCATCGAATGGCTTGCCATCTTTCCGATTGAAGAAAGTGGCAACACCCACAATTTCTTCTTTCTTGTTGACAATGGGAAGGGACAGGACATTTTTGATGAGGAAACCAGACTCGTCCACACCTTCTTTCTGAAAAGTAAAGCAATTTAAAAAGTGTGATGATTACATTCCCCTTGTCGATAAACTAATCAAAATTATGACCAAAATAAATTGTTTTCTGTTTCAGTTTGAAGGTTACAGGTTTGTGGCTATTTCAGGTGTGGATCAGGAACAGTATGAGCTCTGAGAGGGTTTATCCTGGAATTGCTTACAATACCTGGAATGTAAAGTACTCATCAGCAGCAACATTCATCATGTTACAAATCTGCAGAAAGAAAAATAAAGTCAACATAAGCATTAATACAGCAAGTAGTCGTTTTAACCCATTAAGTAGCTCTTTTAACTTGGTTTAAGTAGTTATTTAACCTAGGACAAACTAGGATTTTAAGAAAATACTTTTTTACTTACAAAACCATTTTCAGCCACATAGGTGGGGAGGCCACTAACAAGTGCCCAGTGGTCTACAGGAGGGGTCCTGGAAGCAGAAACATTCAAATGAGAGAGGCTGGCTTGCTAGTACGCTATATGGGCAAAGGTGTGTGGACACCAAGTGTCAACCTCCCACTCTTTCTCTCTTGAAGCCAACACGGTAGTGACTTAAACTGTAATTCGTCAACTGGCCTCTAGAGGCTGGCTGCAAAAGGGAGTCAATCCCATAGACTCCCCATGTTAAAATGCCCAACTTTACAGCAGAAAAAAACATGTTTACAGCCTGGTTCAAAAAATGATATTGGTCTATATAGCTAATTTTGCTGTGAGGGGGGTGAATTTTTTTATAACTCATCCATTTAAATTATATTAACCCTTAAAGTTCTGCATAATTAAGGGCATGGCCACTTGAGTGGCAGGTGGATTGCCGCTGCTGTCACCACCGTCGAGCTAGGTGGGCGTGGTTTCAGCAACCAGCTCCCGCCTCCTTGCCCATTTTCGATTATCCGGGAGTGACGCGCGGTGACGCGCTGCCAAGATGGCGACGGCTGGCTCCGCCCACTTTGAGCTTCAAAAACGCTCTTTAGAAACCTACGGGTGACGTCACGAACACTACGTCCATGTTTTTTTAGTCTATGGTGGACACCCAAACACTACACCCATACACTCACCAGCCACTTTATTAGGTACACCTGTTCAACTGCTCATTAATGCAAATAGCTAATCAGCCAATCACATAGTAGCAACTCAATGCATTTAGGCATGTAGACATGGTCAGTACGATCTGCTCCTTTTCCTCATTCATTCGCGTAAGTGTTTACATTCCACCGCAAGCGCACGTGAGCGCAGCGCTACAACAACTGGTTGATCAAATCACAGACATAGAGCAAGAATACCTGGAATCTGTTATAATCATTCTCGGGGACTTTAATAAAGCAAATCTCTCACGTGAACTGCCAAAATACAGACAGTACGTTACATGTCCTACCAGAGACAGTAATATACTTAATCATTGTTACACCACAATAAAAGATGAATATCACTCTGTCCCATGGGCAGTTTTGAGGCTCTCTGATCACTGTCTAGTTCATTTTATACCGACCTACAGGCAGAAACTGAAATCAGCTAAAACTGTAACAATGACTGTTAAAAATTGGACTAATGAAGCAGAGTGGGATTTTACAAGCCTGCTTCGTCTGCACTGATTGGGGTGTTTTTGAAGCTGCATCCACCGATCTGGACGAGCTCACAGAGACAATAACGTCATTCATTAGTTTCTGTGAGAATATGCGCATCCCTACCAGGACTCATTTAACTTACAACAACAACAAACCGTGGTTCACTGCAAAACTCGGTCAGCTCCATCAGGCCAAAAAAGATGCCTACAGGAGTGGGGACAGAGCCTTGTATAAACAGGCGGCCAAAAACACACTGACAAAGGAGATCAGAGTGTCTAAGAGAAACTAGAGAAATCAGTTTTTCCGCCATTGACCCTCCATCAGTGTGGAAAGGACTGAAAGACATCACCAATTACAAGACACCATCCCCCAGCTCAGTAGAGAATCAACAACTGGCTGAAGATTTGAATGAGTTTTATTGAAGGTTTGAAAAACCCTGTCTCACACCCATTCTGACCTTCTTTCCTTCGATCTATTAACACCTCCAGCAATCCCCCTCTGCACTTTGGGTCTGTGAAATGGATCTCATTTGAAAGAATGGTGCTGGCCCACCTGAAGGACATCATTGGACCCTTACTGGACCACCTGGAGTTTGCTGTGGATGATGCAGTCAACATGGAACTGCACTATATCCTGCATGATCTGGACAGACTAGGGACTTATGTGAGAATCCTGTTCGTGGACTTCAGCTCAGCCTTCAACACTATCATCCCAAATCTCCTCCTGTCCAAATTTACCCAGCAGCTCTCTGTGCCCACCTTCATCTGTCAGTGTATCACTAACTTCCTGACAGACAGGTAGCAGCTAGTGAGGCTGAGAAAATTCTCATCCAGCACCCGCACTATTAGCACTGGCGCCTCCTAGGGATGTGTGCTCTCACCATTGTTCTTCTCCCTCTACACCAATGACTGCACTGCAAAGGATCCCTTTGTCAAACTCATGAAGTTTGCAGACGACACCAAGTGTGGCCTCATTCAGGACGGAAACGAGTCTCCTTACAGATAGGAGTTTAAAGAGCTGTCTGTCTGGTACAGTTATAACAAGCTGGAGCTGAACATGCTCAAAACAGTGGAGATGATAGTGGACTTCAAGAGAATCACTGGTACAACCCTCCCCACTCGCCAAGAACTGCACTCATCCAGAGTGAGTAAAAGAGCTGGCGAAATCATTCTGGACCCCTCACAGCCAGGCTACTTCCTCTTTGAACTGTTGCCATCTGGTCAGCACTCCAGAGCACTGAGCACCAGAACAGCCAGGCATAAGAACAGTTTCTTCCCTCAGGCAATCCATCTCATGAACAGTTAACTTGGCAATAAATGTGTAATGCACCAGACTATTTATACATTTATTTCTTTAACACACCATACTTCTTATTCAAATTTCCTTGCATTTGTATAACATACCTGTACACACAAATGCCATCTATTGTCTATTTGTATATTGTGTAGTTTTTTAAAACTGTAATCTGTTTGTGCTGAGGAAGCTTCTGTTACCAAAACAAATTCCTCATATGTGTAAACATACCTGGTAAAAAAAAGCTCTTTCTGATTCTGATGATTCTGAAGTTCAAACCAAGAATCAGAATAGAGAAGAAAGGTTATTTAAGTGGCTTTGAACGTGGTATGGTTGTTGGTGCCAGATTGGCTGGTTTGAAAATTTCAGAAAAGGCTGATCTATTTTCACGCACAACCATCTCTAGGGTTTATAGAAAATGGTCCGAAAGAGAGAAAATATTCAGTGAGCGGCAGTTCTGTGGGTTAGAATGCTGCCTGGTCTGGTGAGTCTCAATATCTGCTGCGATGGTAGGGTCAGAATTTGGCGTAAACGATATGTAAGCATGGATCCATCCTGGCTTGTATCAACAGTTCAGACTGGTGGTGTCATGCTGTGGGGGATATTTTCTTGGCACATTTTGGGTCACTTAGCACCAGTTGAAGAACCTTGTGGTACTATAAAGAACTTTTTGAGCAGTTGAAAAAGTTCCATGGAACCAGAGATGCCAATAAAGAACCTTAATTTTTAAGAGTGAAAGGTGTTCATTTGGGTTCAGGTTTGGCTCAGGCCTTGTGTACTGTTCTGTAGATTTGTCTTCACTGACATTTCTGGAATAGCCAAACCTATTAGAAAATTGTGTCCAAATAGGTTTGCCTATGTAGTGTACTGTATGTGTGGCAGAATACATATCTTATGACATTTGATTTTTCATAATATGAGCAAAGAACATGTTTTATATGTATAAAATATGCTTACGGTATGACTTTGATCTCTTCTTTGCTTTCTAAGAGATAATCAATGATCTTGTAGAAGTTGATTTCCTGTTGGAAGAAATAAGACGTTATAATAATACTAGACAGCAATACTGACTTGTTTACCAAAGAGAAACAAATTTGTTACCCTGCCATCAGGTGTCTTTGGGCCTTTGTATGGCTCCACGTCTCCCAATTTAATCGGCCACTCATCGTAGAACTCCTAAACAATCAAAGGAAAGTTGAGTGTTTTTATGAACTGCTGATCTATGACCAAATGCAGGATGGTCACCCTATGTCACAAACCTTTTCTTTGGTCATGTCCAGAAGGCCAACAGAGTACCTCTCACACTGGAGGTAGGTCCTGACAGTGTACAGAGCCTTGTGAAACTGTCGCTCAATGTCCGTCAACTCTTCAAACACTTTGCTCGCAGTCCATTGAAGAACCTGTGGCAGCGGTTTACAGTCAGAATCAAGTTTCAAATCGCAGTCAACCATTAAGTGTTGTAGTCCATAGCATTACCTGGCTTCTTCTAGATTCCACGTTATACATGTATGAAGTGTAATGCTGTAGGGCAATGACTGTGGCGAAAGTGATGTACTTGGTGAAGAGCTGAAAAACATTATTTGCTTAATAATTTTAAAAAATGGTAATATCTGTTCTTATACTGACACAGTGGAATCTCAGTCTAAAAAGGTCTGTTCACACTAAGAATAACTATATAGATAACTGTAACTTTAACTATAGTAGCATCCACACCAACGCACCATAACGCTCTGTTTATTATAAGTGCATTCTGCAGTTTTGTTGTCTGCCACTTTAAATGCTTGTGCTCTTTAAAGTCGGGTGAATTCTAATTGGCTGTCAATGTTTTTATTGTTCATCAGCTGGAAAAAAAAAAGTTCTTAGATTTGAAGGATATCGTTCCTCTGTGTCAATATCGTTACAGTAGTGGTGTGAATTTCCCTATTCTCAGAGTATTAGTGTAGTATGTACATGCTCTGAAAACGGCTAATAATCTGATCTCTCCGATTCAGCACAAATTTGAGGTCAGTATCACATATAATGATTTTCACATCGATGTCATTTTTCAAATACTCACGTCTTCATCTGCTTTGGAGAATTCATTTCCTCCAACTTTGTTTATTGCCATGACCACACCAAGTGGGTCTTTCCCGTTCATGAGTGGAGCAGCCAGTATGTTTTTAGTAGTGTATCCTGTCTGTTTGTCCACAAAATCACTGAATCTGGGATTCTAAGATACAAATACATTCGTTAATGTACTGCTGTTTCATGAGAAATTAGTTGAAATATAGGTTGGTTAAAAAAACTACTTACTACAAAATTCTAAAAAGGTCTGTTCACACTAAGAATAACTATATAGATAACTGTAACTTTATCTATAGTAGCATCCACACCAACGCACCATAACGTTCTGTTTATTATAAGTGCATGCTGCAGTTTTGTTGTCTGCCACTTTAAATGCTTGTGCTCTTTAAAGTCGGGTGAATTCTAATTGGCTGGAAATCAAAAAGTTATTAGATTTGAAGGATATCGTTCCTCTGTGTCAGTATCGTTACAGTAGTGGTGTGAACTTCCCTATTC